ATCTCGCAGTAGTCTGTCTACTCGTTGATCTTGGGGAGAGGAAAACCCCTACAAGTACACAAATACTGGGGACATGCAAGGTATCCATCTGCTTCTGTGTCATATCTCGTCATGGGTCGAAATGAGTCTAGATACTAAGTTATAAATCATTTATTCTAATGACAACGGATAGACTGAATATGACATCTTGACTCCAGGACTGTATGAGGAGGTGTGGACTCTATGGCTTGCTGCTGGTTTGACACCGCTGGCGAAATAGCAACAGAGGTGGAATTGGCACAAAGTCGCAAGACTGTGAGTATGCTCGCTTTAGATGTGGGTATTTCCTATTTCCTATTTTTTACTTTATACTTTTTTTTGACTCTTCTTCTCAGCGTGTCAAATAATGGCGCGTTTGCTCTCGCCCCTGGTTCTATTCACTTTTCTGGCCAGGCGGCATCATCAGATTTTCTGTGCACTCCTTCATCACCTCGTGACGCCTTGAGAATGAACACTAGCTCCACTGATCTCCGTTGGCTCATCTTGCGGTTCCAGTTCCATGGCTACAGCTGAATTGCCTAATGAGGCGTCCATGTTCGCTGGCTCGACCATTATCTTCGACTCATTCAAGCCATATTGTGTTTCAAGTCTTGTTCTTAATGGTATTTCTCTGAGAAACAAAGCAATAGGGCTGGTGATACACGCAAATGCCAACAAAACATACCAAGTTTCTTGAAGTGCGTCAGTATAGACGCTGATGATTTGTGCCTTTAAAGCTGGCTGGTCATTGAACGAGGTGATGAAGAGCCGAGTAGCATGTTCGTATGCTCCTCCCAAGACAAGAAGAGAGCGAATTTGAGCATTGTCAATCCGAGACACAAGGCTGTCTACCTTAGAATTAAAGACAGCTGCTGGAATCGAGCCTCCCCAGATCATCCCGAAGCTTCGCACAAACGCCCAAGCTGCGGTGGCAGCAGCTAAATCGTCTTCTCCCAAGGGGGCTTGGATCGCGGGGAGCGTGGAGGTCAGTGCTAGACCTCCACCCAATCCAGCAATGACCTGAAAGACAGCCCATTGTTCAGTGGGAGTCTCCGCGGTGAGCAGTGTAAGGCATCCAGTCGCAATAGGCAGCAGTGCTAAACCAGCGATGAGAACCGGCTTATAACGGCCACTCCATGTAACGATAAGTCCACCAAGTATGCCAGCCGGCGTGAATGGAATGGCCAGAGCGAGTACGTTGACGCCAGCCAGTAGAGGAGAATCTTCTTTGAGGACCTGAAAATAGACTGGAATGAAAAAACTGAACCAAGACATGATCATCCCATGGAGAAAGGTTAGAACGAAGCCGAGAAGCGAGGTTCTGTTTCCAAAAAGGCGCAGAGGCATAGAAGGGTCTTTGGAGGCATATTGTTGATGAAGGAGATAAAAAATAAGCCCCAAAATGCCGAGAATAAGGGGGGCAAGAACTCTCCCAGAGTCCCAGGGATATTGAGTTCCGCCCCAAGTGAGAGATATCAAGACAGAGACGACAGAGGCACTGAGAAGTACGTGACCTGACCAGTCGAGGCTTATCAAACGTGGAATGATGGCACCATCACTGGGATGCCTCACCTTTAGGAAGAGGAAGACGAGTAGGAGAGCAACACCTCCAACGGGGAGATTGATGTAGAAGGTCCAGCGCCAGGAAACTCGGGTGACTATCGCACCGCCGATGATCGGTCCGATGAAAGTTCCCAAGGCAAAAAAGGACATGACAATGGCCATGTACTTCTGACGATACCGTAACGGGACTAAATCGCCGACGATTATAGACACCAGTACGGAGATCCCGCCGCCTCCGAGCCCTTGGATGATTCTCGCCGCTATGAGCATCTCAGTGGAGCTTGCGCCAGCACAGAGGCCACTTCCGAGAGTAAACAATGCTAGAAACGCGAGCATTGGAGCTCGCCGACCAAAGATGTTGGCCATCTGACCAGCGAGTGGCTGTACCACCGCTACTGATAGGAAATAGCCATTGACGATCCAGATGTATAACGCACCGGAACCGAGATTGTTCACAATGGTTGGCAAGGCGGTTCCCACGATGCTAGTGTCCAGCGCCACCAAGAGAATGGAAAAGCATAGCCCGGGAAAGACAGCATAAAATTGTAAGCTGCGGCGTGAGTCCTCGAAGTCTTGATCAGCTTCGATGTTAGTGAAAGCCATGACTCCGAACAAGGGCGAACAACGAGCTGATAGATCTCTTTCACACTGAGATTAGCTGACCGTCACCGGTGTCAGAGATATATACCGCATTGAAGACGTTAAAGGCTGGGTGAGAAAGAAAAATGTCGCGCACGGAATGCTCACAACAATACGAGTAGTCATATGAGCGCTGGGGGCCTATTGCGGATACAAGCATCTAGAATTGCGAGCCTCTACTCTGTAGTTCCTGGCGCCACTGTACGTGCTAGCAGTAAGCTTACTCGTGGTGGAGTATACTATACTGGCTTTGTATGTATGCACGGTTCTCAAACGAACCATGTAACTCTACCTACATATCTATCTATTTGCGACGGTGGTCTGAGTTTGCCGATAGGTTAACCAATACTAGCAAGGACCCTTTCTTTTCTTATTGCAGTAGTAGTATCTGTATTCAGTATTAGGTATGACGGGTTTCTTAGTAGCTAGAGAACATGATCCTATCGCATGCCCACTCCATCGCTTGGCATGTTTTCAAAATGGCTCCCTTCTCCTTGGGGGAGTGATGTCCACCACCATGTGTTATAACCTTCCGGAGCTTCGGGTCGCAGAGCTGAGTGAACTTGTGGCCCTGCTCATTATACTCATCCTGGTCACCAATCACATGGACAGTGGGGATATGTAACATTCGTGCCTGCACCTCTGGGTGGTATCGCAGGAGTAGCTCTACGGTCTGAGGAAGCTTGCTCAAATCGCTGTAGTCAAGTCTCTTCTTCTTTTTCTCGAACTCGTCCATAATTCCAGCTGTTTCAGGGTCACTCAGCCAGTCGTAGGTTTTGCTTGCCTCTTCATCAAGGTCATGTCGTATGGCGGTGATTGTGTCTGGATCGGTGACTGTAACCCGAAGAGGGCCAGAGTCGAGACGAAAAGGCATTGTAGGACAAATGAAGATTGCAGCCTTGAATGGGGGATCTGAGGGGTCCTTCTCCATCCCTGCCGCGATAACGGTCGCAGCTAGAGCTGCTCCATTCGAAAACCCCAATATAGCATCGAACGGTCCGTCCTCTTGGACAACATCCATGATCATATCGACTGCGTCTTGCACCGCTTGAGGGGTAGGATCATCATAGTAGCATAAGTAAGGCCCGGGGAAAAACTCAGAAACACCTACAATCAACACCTCATCTGTTAGATCTGTCTCTACCTGAGTAGCTTTCTACGGGACTGATCTTCTCTCACCGGGAGCTGGTAGCGCTTCTACTTCGCCATCAAGAAATTCAAATTCCCACTCAGAAGGGAGCCGAGACCGTAGTGTTGTAAGCTGTGACTCAAGGATTTTGGAATTTGTTCCCAGACCATGGAGGCATAGTATACGCATTGTGACTTTGTCCTTTGTCTGTTAGAAAACAGCCCTAGGTGTAGAATCAGGGAATTGGCAGCCTCGACAAGTGGGCAAATGCAAAGAACACTTTGTATGCGAGAAAGATAGAGAAAACGTAAGAAATCATATAATACGTAGATGCATATACAGAATAGAGCTAAAAAAAAAAAAAGGGAAGAAAAAATCGAGTCACGGATTGCTTTCGGTCTCTTCGGTGCCTCGCATAATACCGTACCCGGTTATGCAAGCAGAAGCAGACCGTGGGTGTTGATGCCGAACGTTTTTGTGGTAAGTTAATTGCTTTTGTCATTGGAGGAGAAATCGTAATTAGTCAACTCTTGGCCGTCTGTTGGTTTGGCCAAGCTCAGCAGACGCTTCTCAAAATAGTATAGTATATTGAATGATGTGTCCTGCGCTGAGACGAACACCCCGTAAGCAGGTTATCAACCAGGAGAGCATTAAGGTCCATTACAATACATAGGAGCTCGGAAACTGCCTAGCAGGTTGACTACATGTAGGTAGTAAGCCGCCGGCCACAATAGACCCCTACCTCTCTAGGCGAGGTGAGCTTTAGTAGCCGGCTTAGTCAACCCGCTGGGCATAGTGGGACGTGTTGCATTTGGAAACAAATAGTTCCAAGAATGAATTCCTGTAACTACTGTGTTAGGAATGGCGTATGTGTACTTGGACTACCTATTCGACGATCATTGCAGCGAGGCGCTAATGTATGTATGTATACCTCCCCTGTATGATATGATTCCTGTCAGCCGTGGCATGTACCTAGGGGTCATGGCAATCTAGGCCCGGTTGTTATTGTATGTACGAGCAATTGTTGAATACTTGAAGTGGGGCCCTGATCTTATATCATTGTTCACCTATATACGAACCATAGCAAGATGAGCAGATTTGTTTTTTTAGATAACCGGCAAATTTATTAGATTACATTCCCCCATGTGTCCGGTGCCATCCTTCCCGACGGACAAGACTATTTCAATCTTTCACAAGTCTATTATAGTTCACACGCCAAGTCTAAAACTGTTATTAGAGATATTGGACCATAATCTTTGTAACTCATTTCCCGAAATAGTGATAGATCATAGACCCCTATTAGTGGAGGAGGTCTATGTTGCTAGCTTAGCCTTCTGGGGTACTGGGCTATGCCTGTGAATTGATCTAGACCACATGGGCAACGTCGTCAGCTTTCAAGTTGCAGAAAATGATTGGATGATTATGGACAATGACATGTATAGCATATGCGGTTATCGGTAAGATGGCGGAGATATCGGCGTGTTAATTCTATCAGTGAGCATAAGCAACAGCTTGAGACAATTGTTATTAACCTATATAATAGGTCGGAGTCCCAAGCTACCTGTTCTGTTACCAATTATCCCCGAATTTATTTCATTTTGACACGGCCTTGAGCTAGCTTCAGCATCCTTCCTGTTCTACATTCACTACAATGGACGCAAACGCGATTCTGATACAGGATGCCTCAATGCCAATTGCTATTGTTGGCATGGGGGGCAGATTTCCAGGTGAAGCTACCAACCCGGACAAGCTCTGGGACATGGTCTCGAAAGGACGAAATGCTCTTTCAGAAGTACCAAAGGATCGATTCAATATCGAGGCTTTTTATCACCCCTCCGCCGAGCGTCATGGATCAATGAACGTCAGGGGAGGAAACTTTCTAAAGGAAGACATCGCTAGATTCGATGCTCCTTTCTTCTCTATCACAGCCAAGGAAGCACATGCCATGGATCCTCAACAACGATTAGCTCTAGAGCTGTCGTATGAAGGACTTGAGAATGGTGAGGATTCTATTACCACTATAGCTCGGGACAGAGAAGTTAACCCTGAGTAGCTGGTATTAGTATTGAAGAGATTGCGGGATCTAACATGTCCTGCTATATGGCTTCATTCACAAAAGATTATACAGGCATGAGAGGTAGGTTATCCGGCCCAGCTTAGTGTCTATTTGTTAATTGAAAGCTAACATTCAAACAGGCCATGATGCTGAAGACATTCCGTAAGACAAATGCTCAATCATTTTACCTTTTTCGAAAGGATATTTCAATACTGACAGTCTTCCTAGTTTATATGAAGGAACAGGCAATGGTGCTGCTTTAATCTCAAACCGCGTCTCATGGTTCTTTGATATCAAAGGTCCCAGTCTCAGTTTAGACACGGCGTGTTCATCTTCCCTTGTTGCCCTTCATCTTGCTTGCCAGAGCATTCGAGCTGGAGAATCAACCTCAGTAAGGACGGCTCCCATCATTAAATCAGTTAACCTTTGCTCATCTAGTCTAGGCAATTGTCGGAGGTACCAATATCATCTTAATGCCAGAGATGCAAAACGCCATGACATCACTCCATTTCCTTAGTCCTGACTCCAAGTCGATGTCATTTGATCACAAGGCGAATGGCTATGCCCGAGGAGAGGGTGCAGCTGTTGTCGTATTAAAACCTCTTGCGGACGCACTGCGAGATGGTAACGTTATTAGAGCCGTCATCAGAGGCACAGGTGTCAACCAAGATGGCAGAACTCCTGGTAAGTCGAATCTCTGCAATCGGCTACCACGTGTATGTAGGGGTCTAATCGCAAAATAGGTATTACCGTGCCATCTTCAAAGGCACAGGAGGAGCTGATACGCGTCACATATGCCTCTGCTGGATTGGACTTCAAGCAGACTGGCTACTTCGAAGCACACGGCACAGGTATGTATAGCCCGCCTTAGTCTGTCTCACGGTTCAATTCTCTCTAACAATATGAAGGAACCCCTGTTGGTGACCCTCTAGAATGCGCTGCTATTGCTGCTACCTTTGGTCAAACAAGAACAGAATCAGATCCTCTCCTAATAGGTTCAGTGAAAACAAATATCGGCCACATGGAGGGAGCTGCTGGTCTCGCGGGTCTGGTCAAAGCCGTCTATGCCTTGGAGAGAGGACAAGTGCCACCGAATCTCTGGTTTGAAAAGGCAAACCCTCGCATTCCTTTGGCAAAATGGAAACTAAAGGTTCCCACGGAGCTTACCCCATGGCCTACTGAGGGTGTCCGAAGAGCCAGTGTCAATTCATTCGGTTATGGTGGTACTAATGCTCATTGCATCGTCGATGACGCTTTCCATTATCTTGAGGCCCGGGGATTGAAGGGATTCCACAACACCATTTCCGAGACACTTGATACCCCCAAAGCTTTTCTTTCTACGGTCCCAGTTGCTGACTCGTTGCCTCAGCTTCTTGTCTGGTCTTCGCCTGAACAGAAGGGAGCTGACCGCACTGCAGCTAGCCTGACATCATATGTCAAGTCTCTCAGCGCCCTACCAACAGAAGAGAGCAACTTGCTCGGAAGACTGTCATTTACACTATCTAATAAGCGCAGCAAGTTCCCATGGAAATCATTTGCCATTGCTTCCACCCTTCAAGAGGCTATTGACGCTTTTGAGCAACCAAGGAAACCTGAACGGTCTGCGGAACAGCCTACTATCGCTTTTGCATTCACTGGGCAAGGTGCTCAATGGTATGCTATGGGCCGTGACTTGTTCAAATACCCGGTGTTTAGAGACTCAATTCGAGCCGCGGCTTCGTCATTGAAGCAACTTGGTTGTGAATGGGACCTTGTCGGTGAGTTCAATCTTATTTACAAACTGAAGATGGAATCACTATACTAACCGCCATACAGAGGAGCTCAATGCAACTGAAGAGAAGTCTCGTATCAATGAACCGGCTCTCAGCCAGCCTGCCTGTACGGCTTTGCAAGTGGCTCTTGTAGACCTTCTCAGCAGCTGGGGCGTGAAGCCATCCGTCGTAGTTGGCCACTCTAGCGGAGAAATTGCTGTAAGAATCACCTCGCTTTCTATCTGTAGAAACTTTATTAATGTGCATATAGGCTGCATATGCAAAGCGAGCTATTAGCCGGGAATCGGCTTGGAAAGTTGCATACTACCGTGGTCTCCTCTCCAGCACCATCAAGAAAGAAGGCGCTATGCTTGCGGCTGGTTTGGGTTATGAGGACGCCCAGGCTCTTGTTGACCAGGTCACGGACGGTGATTTGGTCGTTGCCTGTATTAACAGCCCATCTAGCGTTACACTTTCTGGCGACATCTCGGCTATCTCTCAAGCCCAAGCTCTGCTGGAAGAGAGAAAGGTGTTCAACAGGAAGCTCGTGGTGAAGACCGCCTACCATTCTCCTCACATGAAGGCTATTGAAGCATCCTATTTGGCATCGATTAGCGATATTTCACTAGCGACAGAAGATACCAGCGTGCGGATGTTCTCGTCTGTGACGGGAGAGATCATTGAAGCGGCTGAGCTTGCTAAACCATCATACTGGGTCTCCAACTTGGTGAATCCCGTCAAATTCAACCAATCATTGCAAGCGGCAATTAAGCACAACCCAACTAAGAGACGAACGACGAAGAACACGGGCGGAATCAGCCTCATTGTTGAAGTTGGACCTCACGCAGCTCTCCAGGGGCCGATCCGACAAGTTTTATCAGTGGAAGAAACCAAGAAACTCAATATCCTCTATGTTTCACTCCTCAAACGCGACAACAGTGCCAGCTTGACCGCGATTGAAGCCATGGGAACTTTGTTCCAACGCGGCTATGCTGTGGATGTTGCTCAGGTTAACAACTCTGGCAAAGATACACCAGCAACCCTTGTTGATATGCCTCCGTTTGCTTGGAACCACAGCACGAAATACTGGTATGAATCTCCCATCTCTCGCGCTTACCGGTTGCGAGACATGCCGAGACATGACCTCGTCGGAGCCAGATGCGAATACTCCAGTGAGCAACAGCCCAGTTGGCGCAATTATCTCCGAGTTTCCGAAATCCCGTGGTTGGAGCACCATCAAGTCCAATCATCCATCTTGTATCCCTTTGCGGGTATGATCGTTATGGCCATCGAGGCCTCACGCCAGGTGGCCGATAAGACCAAAGAGATTGAGGGGTTCCAGCTGCGAGACATCTCGGCTGGTGCGGCCATGATTATTCCGGCTGACGAGGCTGTTGAGTCAAAGATTCAACTTCGTCCTTGGCGCGCTGGCTCAAGGCTTCCCGATTGGACATGGAACGAGTTCACCATCTCTTGCCGAGATCGCCAAGGAGCTTGGACACAACACTGTTCAGGTTTAATCCAAGTCAAGTATAAGACAGCAGTGAACCCTACTTTTACGAATGAAGACGCTGCTAGAGCCAGGAAGTTCCGGGAAGAGTATCAGAAAATCACAGATGCTGGATTGGAAATCGAGGATCCAGCTGACGTCTACGCTTCGGTATGTTTATACGGTATGCCATCTACGATTTTGACCCGTTACTAACTGTCATATAGCTCGCTGAACTCGGCTTGCAATGGGGCCCATCATTCAAGTCACTGGTCCATATCGGCTCAGGGCATTACCAGGCGCAATGCGCTATCGAAGTCCCAGACACAAAGTCCTTTATGCCTGAGAACTTTGAGCATGATCATATTATTCACCCTGCGACGCTCGATGGCATCGTACAAATGATTGTGCCTGCCTGCTCACCTCGGGGAGCACTTGTTGATAGAGCCAAGATCCCTCGCTTCGTTGAGAGTGTCTACATCTCAAGCAAAGTGGCGAGCAAGAAGCCCGGCGACAAGCTTTACGGTTACTCTCGCTCTACGGCACACGGTTTCCAGGAATCCGTTGGTACCATTGTCGCTTCCGATGGCGACTGGGAAGAGCCTCTCGTTGTGTTCGAGGGGTGCAGAGTCATCACGCTCGAGACCATGACGGAGGGCATTGCATCCGCTTCTGCTTCAACCAAGTCGATCAAGAAACTGGGCGCGTGTACACACTGGGGGCCTGACATTGAAGAGCTCACTGCCGACGGTTTGAAGGCCTTCCTCTCCCCCTTTGCCGAATTATATCCTGATCCAGAATACGAAACAATCTACGATCTCGAGTTAGCTTGTCTAATTATCTGCAAGCGAGTCCTTCGAAAGTTTACTGCAGAAGACTCGAAGGCATTCGCGCCGCATCATCGTCTGTTCTATGAATACATGCAGCACCAATACGACCTTGCTGTCGAAGGCAAGCTCAACTGCCAGAGCTCTCCCATCAAGAACATTGACTGGTTGAACACAAGCGAAGAATTTGATTCGGCCTTACTCGAGAAGGTTTCTACTGAATCTGTAGACGGAAAAATGCTGGTCCGCGTCGCCTACGCGATGAATGAGATCCTCACCGGCACAATTGAGCCTCTGCAGGTTCTCCGTGAAGACGACTTGCTGACTTCATATTACCGAAATGTCATTGGTGTTGAAAAGGTTAACCCAGTCCTTGAAGAATACGTCAGGCAAATCTCGCACAAGAGACCACTTCGCGTCTTGGAGGTTGGCGCAGGTACCGGAGCAACTACAAAGCTAGTCCTGACGACGCTTGGGAAACGCGATGATGCCGCCGCTAAGCTGAAGCTGTACACGTTCACTGACATTAGCAGCGGATACTTTGAACCTGCTGCCAAGGACTTCAGCGAATATGCAGAGTTCTTGGAGTACAAGATTCTCAACATCGAGAAGGATCCCGCTGAGCAGGGATTTCCTGTTGGCCAATATGATATTGTCATTGCAAACAACGTTATTCACGCTTGTTCGTCTATCGACAGATGTTTGACACACTGCCGTAGCATGCTCAGACCGTGAGTACTTATCACATAATTCTGCGTGATTCAAGGCTAACTTGCGATGTATGTACAGTGGCGGAGTTTTGCTCCTTGGTGAGCTGACCACAACGATGGCTCGTGTTCCGATGATCTTCGGAACACTTCCCGGATGGTGGCTTGGTAAGTCGTGCATGTACCGCAATGTTTAGGCTTTCAATCTCGACTGACAATTGTGCAGGTGAGAATGATAACCGAAAATGGGGCCCAAGACTCTCAGAAAGCGAATGGGACATTCACCTGCGCCAGCACGGATTTGGTGGACTGCATGTGTCCTTCCGAGACGACAGCAGAGAAGATGTTTACCAGTCTTCCCTTATTTTCTCCGTGGCTGTAGAGACCACCTCTCCCCCGTTACCTACGAATGCCGTCGTCATCAAGCCAGCAGTCGCTGACCCCGTTGTTGATGCGATGGCATCAAAGTTATCGAAGCTGCTAGATAAGGAGGGTGTTCAAGTTGAAGTAGTTTCGCTGCAGGACGTCAACGCTACTGATTTCAGTGGCAAGGCATGTATTGTTGCAGTGGAGTCGAACAAACCTCTACTTCATGAAATCAAGGGCGAGGATTGGGAGTCTGCCAAGAAGGCGGTTCTTGGATCAAGAAGCACTCTCTGGCTCACAAATGGTGGTGCCATGGAATGTACCACCCCTGAGTCCAGTCTTATTGTTGGACTTTCCAGAACTATTCGAGGAGAAAATCCCGGCCTGCAGTTCACAACTCTTGATCTTGATCCCAAGGAATCCATCGACTCCGACGCCACTTGCGCGATTATTAGCCAGATCTTCAAGTCTAAGGCTGATCCTTCCAATGCGGAATGGGAATATTCTCTGCGCAATAAGCTGATTAATGTACCTCGTCTATATCCCGACGACGAGGTGAGCAACCTCTTCGAGACCAACGCAGAGGATCCTCCTGCAGTGAAGTTGCCTTTCAACCAGCCAGGCCGTGCTCTTGCACTGGAGATCAAAGTACCTGGAATGCTGGATACCTTCCAATTTACAGACTGTGACGAATACCCGCTACCACTTGGTGACCGAGAGGTCGAAATTAAGGTCAAGGCCGTAGGTATGAACTTCCACGACGTCATGATTGCCATGGGCCAAATCCAGGATACCAACTTGGGTGTCGAGTGTAGTGGCGTCGTCACTCGCATTGGAAAGTCCGTCACTCAATGGAAGGAGGGCGACAGGGTCATGACATTCCGTCTAGGAACTTACCGCACATACATCCGTAACCCGGAGGAGATGTTCCAGAGAATGCCTGATGATATGTCGTTCGAAGAGGGTGGATCGATCGTGTCTATCTATGGAACAGCCGTCTACTCGCTGTTTGATGTCGCCCGTCTGCAGAAGGGTGAGAGCGTTCTTATCCACTCTGCCGCAGGTGGCTTCGGTCAAGGAGCTATCATCATCTCTCAGTATATCGGCGCCGAGATCTTCGTAACCGTTTCAACCGAATTCAAGAAGCGTTTCTTGATGGAGACGTATGGTATTCGTGAAGATCATATCTTCAACAGTAGAGATCATAGCTTTGCTACCGGCATTAAGCGTATGACTAACGGTAAGGGCGTCGACGTTGTCTTAAACTCTCTTGCTGGAGAGGGACTACGGCAAAGTTGGCTGTGTGTTGCGCCCTTTGGTCGGTTCATTGAGCTGGGCAAGCGAGATATAAGTAAGTCGCCAACCTGATTCCCTTATAATAAGCACGTACGATGTGGAGAGATTCTGACTATTCATTAGCCGGTAACACGGGCTTGGACATGACGCCTTTCCTACACAATGTCAGCTTCTCTGGTGTGAACATGCTGTCTGTATACAGGGAGAATGTGCCACTGCTCAGCAGAATCTTGGCAGACGTGATGAAGTACTGGGCCATGGGTGTTACGAAACTCGTCACACCTCTTAAAGTTATGAACTTTTCCCAGATCGAAGAGGCGTTCCGCATTATGCAAACGGGAAAACACATCGGAAAGATGGTATTGGCCGCTAATGATGACGACATTGTTCCGGTAAGATCTTTGTTTATCACTGGAATGGCTAGAAAGGGAAAGGCTAACAGCAGAGAAACAGATCGTCCCCCCTAAGAAGAAAGAATTCACTCTGTCTTCCAACGCAACTTATATGATCCCCGGTGGTCTTGGTGGCCTCGGACGATCACTTGCAATGTGGATGGCAGCAAAAGGTGCTCGCTACCTTGCCTTTACGTCTCGTTCGGGCGCAAGTAGGCCAGAGGCAAAGGCACTTCTGGAAGAATTGGCGAAGATCAATGTCCAGAGCAAGGCTTTCGCAAGCGACATCAGCAATGAGGCCGAGCTTACCAAAGTGCTGCAGGAGATCAAATCCGCCAACTTCCCCGCCATTCGCGGAGTCATTACCTTCGCCATGCAGTTGCAGGATGTCTTTTTTGAGAACATGACTGTTGAAGAGTTTCACACTGCTGTCAGACCCAAAGTCCAAGTTACAAGAAACTTGCACGAACAGCTACCCAAAGACCTTGATTTCTTCATCTGTATGTCCTCTGTTGGAGGTATTGTAGGATCTAGAGGACAAGGCAACTACAACGCCGGTGAGTTTAACCTTTTCCTATAATAGTGATTTGCATAGAGATATCTCTTCTTGAAATGGAGGCAGACAACTAATACGTATTCTCTATAATAGGAAACACATACCAAGACGCCGTTGCACGCCACCGCCGTTCCCTTGGCCTTGTAGGAACAAGTATCGATCTTGGTCTTGTTTTGGGCGTCGGTTGGGCTGCAGTTCACGGTGAAGCACTAGGCTATCTTAACTCTGGCGCAATGGCTGGTCTTAAGGAAACCGAGGTGCTGGATGTTATAGAGGCAGGCATGGCTGGCTTGCTTCCAGAGGCCGAGAACACGGTCGGTCTGACTACAGGAGGCATGCTTAAGCAGGGTGGCTATGAGGAGCTGTACTGGCACAGCGAGCGCCGGTTTGGACCAGTCAGCGTCTACGACACACAGGATAACGGCACTGCCGGTTCCGGCGAACCTGACAGGTCTGAAGAGCTACGCGCAGCTTTGGGTGCAGCACAGAACTTAGATGAAGCTGGAGCTGCTGTTTGCGTGGCACTGATGCGGAAGCTGGCAAAGGCCATGATGATGGACGAGGCAGATCTCGACTCTGGCCGCCCTGCGAATGCTTATGGCGTTGACAGTCTTGTGGCAGTGGAGATCCGGGCTTGGGTATTCAAGACCGTCAAGAGTGACATCTCTGTGTTCGACATCTTGAGCAATGCTCCACTGGCTACGCTTGCTGGGCTTATTGCTTCCAAGTCGTCATATGTGCCTGTTGCGATTCGCGGTGAAGGAGTTTCATTGGAGAAGTGAGATACCATTAGATGGGGAAATGGAATAAAGGATCAATATCTCGGCTTTATATAAACATTTATAAGAGGGACTTATCATAATTTTTTCTTAACACCCGCTCTTGTGACAATCTGATGAGAAAGCCATATGGTCTCAGCTTTCACAAGATTGGACTTCATCAGGGCCTAACGTCTAAGATCAATGATGTTAGAGCTCGTAGTACATACGACGTTGGTAAATTACAGATAGCCAGTGAGAATAACGGTTGGAATAAACTGGTTAATGGTTCAGTATATACATATACGCCGCATATGTATGTTATGAGTTTGTCTTGGGCCATTTCCAATATATATTGGCACCCTCAACGCCTGCCAATGGATTTCCTTCGCCGTGCGTAGCGTTTCCGTATTGCTCGTCAAACCCACATTTGATGTAGAATCCATCTTTGCCCAGAGCACTAACCACAGACGCGCAGACTCCCTCATTTTCAGCTTGCTTGAGGCCCCATTGCGCGAGTTTCCGGCCTATGTTTTGGCCCTGGAAATCCGGCCGCACTGCCAACCCTTCGAGATACCACGATTCAGCGCGCTTGCCGCTCCAGATCGTGTCGAAATAAGAATACGATTGCTCCACAATGTTCTCCCGGACAGGGTCACTTGCACGACTTGGCCACAGCCAAGCATGAATTCTCATGGCAATAGAAGACAGAGGTTTTAGCAGATTTCCTGGGCCAGTCACTTAGCTTCCATGAGCAGATGGGATACCAGAGCATACTCACGAGGATCCAAGTGCGAGCGCTCCAACTTCTTGCCCCCATCCCCCAATCTCGCCCATTGCGCAATGCCGGCAATAGCATCACGACCAGTTTCGTCTTTATCTATGGCAACCAGCCATCGCCAGCGGCTGTCCCAGAAGTTGACGCGGGCCCGCCGCAGCCAGTACAAATGCACATCGTCTGGATACTCGTTTCGATGGGGGTGGATGAGCTGGCCAAACAAATTATCTTCCCAGAATGCTTTTGCCATCACGCGAGCAATTTCAGGTAACTCTGAGTAGCGCGCATCGCGCAACACAATGTCGGACATGTTGTGCCACGAGGAGTGAGAGATGATGAGACTCTGCAATGTGATGGGCAAGAAGGATTGGGGACAGCCAATACCCCGACAAGCAACTGCGAATCGTGAAACTTGGGGTAACTACGAATACGAAGACTCCCGTACGCTTTGTGACAAGTAGTTTGCAACAAAAAGCAAAGTTATTGCATATATCCCTGTATATCGAAACTGGTTGGTTCAACGTGGCCAAAAGCTGCTCCTTGGAAGCATCTCAGTGTCTTGGCGACGAACGCCTCACCTGTTTCCGCAAGCATCCCCTGGATAGTTCAAGTGCATCTTAGGCGACTCATCTGGACCGTCGTACCAGCATAAAACGCCACACATATGCGAACTAATGACATGAAGTTTAATATGTGATAGCGCCGGCGGGGCGACCCTACTTCCCGCTGTCTAACAACTTCGCCATCCATTTCGTGGTACTGTAAAGAGGAACTGAACCTTTATGCGAGCTCGGGTTTCAATGTAACTCAATGCGAGATGGTGTCTGCACTCTCGGCATTAGCCCATTTTGCCTAGGATTGCCGTTGAATCTCCTGATGCCCTAAAGTGCCATTAATTTGTCTGTGGTGCTGTTCTGAGTAGAACATGCTCTTTTGTTGCCACAGTTCTAGCTTGATGGTTTTTGCACTGATGACAGGGGCTGGGACGGTGACGAGGCTGGTTGTATGCAAACTACGGCAAGCTCATGTTGTGATCCGATTGGCCCGGCGTCAGCACCCTTGCCATCCGCCTGCTGAATTGTGACGGCTCCAATGTGATGTTGTTGGTCGGCCCATGCTTTAACGTACTGTACTGTAACTTGTTGATGATGGGTTCGTTGAAAATCCCTCACACCACGGTTCCTTTCCGCAGTTTTCTCCCGACGATTTTCAGACAGTCAAGAATTTGTAGGGCACATATGCTCAAAGGGACTGACTAGTCTTTGACCGAGGATTAGTTGGAACTAGGAGACTAATGATTCAGTTACAGAAATTTAGATAGTGCTCTTTCTATGGACGATTAAGAGCTGGCCCTCGCCGATTGGTGGTCCTCATGCGTGACGTTCCATGCCACCTCCTTGATGATTATCATATCTCGACTGCCAGTTCTAGACCTTTCCTCATCCGATAGGTTCTCCCGGCTAACCCCGCCGAAGTGATGAGCCATGGCGGCATTTTGATTCGGAACCTGATCCGGCCTCCAGTTGTGAGGTCGGCCACGGGCCTCGCTGTCAGAGTGATTATGGATCCATACAGACGTCGATGCCCCTGCAGCTGAAGTGGCCTTGGAACGGCTATTCTCAAGTGACTGAAGCGGATACGCGTTGCTTGGCCCGTACATGCTAGAGTCGTAGGCAAGTGGAAAACCTAGGCCTATGGAGAACGATTTGAGAAAATTCTTCATGTTTGGTACCGTGGCAGTAATAAGAGACCAGACAATCATAGTCTGCTGAAGGAGGAGGCTGTTTGTGACTGCAAATTGAGGCTCGAGGGAGGTTGGGTACTGGCTGAAATACGCCAGATGAATGGCTGAGAAGGCGATGAGTGGCAGACGGAATGAGAAAGCCAAGGTGACCTGACCCTTGCGGGAAGCGGACATATTAACGCTCCAGGAGACCCATACAATAAGAAGCCAAGTCAGGATCTCGGTGAGGATGTCAATCGAAGTGATCACAGCCCAGCGTGCATTCTACACACAACTCCCAGGTTAGGCGTCTTCATAAGATCTTGACGAGTCATAGCATAATTCTTCTTTCGTACCTGGTTGGGACATTGTTTAACATTATCCAGAGTTAACAATGTGCCAGCGCGGCAGTTGATTAGGAGTGCTAATGATGAGCCTATCCCCCATGCCGAACTAAGAACCATAAGCCCAATACAGAACGGTTTGCTCTTTCCAGACTTGGAGTCAATGATTCGAAAGATAAGAGCGATGACAGAGCATTTGGCGAGGCTCAAGGTTATAAGACAGAGAATAACGGCCGCGAGAATGGACTATAAGTGGAAGAGTTAGTTGCTGAAAGTTGTAACATTGCATGAGGCTTACTTTTGAAGACGTCGCCCATTGTTCCGGTGGTGTAATAGAGTTGAATTTGCCGACGCCATGGTTTAAGCCAACAAAGATTGCGATAGATTGAGCTATATGGAGGACCTGACTAATGGTCAACTTTGTTATCGAATACGGAATCAGGTTTCTTACCGTCGCGAAAGCAAGGAGTAGATCATCAAATCCAAACATCCGGTACTTGATGTACGCCCTTGTTATAGCACCAAAAAAGGCGTATATCAACGATAGGATTGTCACGATCCATAGCTGTCCTGAATGGTCGTTGAACGTAACGCGCGAGAACTGAAAGGACCCATCGTCCGATGCGTCTGGATCCATGAGTGAGGAAGACCTGTAGGTCCGGCTCAAGAGAAGCAATAACTTGACAGCATCGAAAAACGGAGATCTTCGCAAGAGATAACGAACTCCTATTAAGTCTTTGCTTTACACTCACAGCGTGACGGCAGCCAAAGTCCCGATACTGACAGATGGATGGGCGTGTGGTGTGGGTTCCAGCCACAGGATCCTGACTCCAGGCTAATTCAGCGTAGCCAACGGCTTATCCTCGTAACAGACGCAAACAGGTACGGAGTAAACTTCTCAGCTTAAGACCAGGGGCTAAAAGGCTTTTGCCTTGGTGATTTGCCCCGGTCAAATTTCATCACCTACTTGCATTAACAAGCATACGACTACTCCGTACTCGTACATACTTGGAACAAAACCATGTCCCTGCCGGCAACATAAATCCTTTCATCCTTGGGGACGCAGTCTCAGCTTTCTACAATACACTCCTGTTGGTCAGGGACCAAGACATAGCCCTAAACCAGTTTTCTATCACTTTATATTTAGCGGTTTGATACTCCGTAATCCGGATGGGGTCACCGAAATCTTGGGGGCGAGCGTGTGTCTTGGCTAATCGTTACGAGCCGTATGATTTCCATCTCTGTCCCTGACAGACAGTGCCAGCAGCTGCATTACACTGGAGTTCCCTGCACGCCAAGGTAGGGGTTAGACAAGGAACGACCAACATGCATGCACCAAGCCAGGTCGGGGGACTCAACCCGTTGTGCGCTATTCCCAATTCAATTGGAATGGTAGGATACAAGTACTTCGCATTGCTCACATGTTTGCAATTGTCTGGCCATGCGTGTCTACTGCATGCATCCTCCCTCCTGCATCATCCATGGAACACTAGCTGCAGATTTTAAATGATATTTCTTTCTTTCCTTTTTCCTCTTCCTTTGTTTTGTTGTGGCCTTTTCAGCGAAACCACTTCTCCCCAAGGTGGCTCCGATTCACCGCAAAAATGGTAGTTGACGATAAGGAGATCTCTGAAGTCAATGATGCCACCATTGGCCTCAACGATGATGCCGATGAGAAGAAAGGAAATGCGGCCGACCGCGCCGACATGTACCGTATGGGCAAAGTCCAAGAAATGAGGGTTCGTGCCAGTTGACTCTTGCACTTTAACTCGCCGAGTTTTCTAACGCAACATCTAATAGAGAAATTTTCGCTTCTTGTCCATATTTGGCTTTTCTATGATTCTAATGGCATCGTGGGAGTTCTCTTTAAGGTAAATTGGGATTTAACAATGCGGTGATGGCTAGGTTACTAAGTGAAATTGTGGTTTAAAGTGTGTCTACAATCGGCCTTGTTAACGGCGGAACTGCCGGTTTCATCTGGATGTTCTTTGTTTGCTGGATGGGTTTCCTCTTGGTGAACACGACAATGGCTGAAATGGCTTCAATGTGCGTCATTTCCAATCCATATATGTCACTTAACTTCTCACCTCAACGTCTGTAGGGCTCCAACGACTGGAGGACAGTATCACTGGGTATCCGAATTTGCGCCACCGCAATATCAGAAATTCATCAGCTACCTTATGGGTTGGATGTGTGTACTTGGCTGGCAGACATCATGTGCCTCCTCGGCATTCATCGCTGGCACGCAGATTCAAGGCCTCATTGTCTTAAACAACCCCGATTATATCCCCAAACCATGGCACGGTACTTTACTCACCGTGGCCGTTGCGGCTTTCTCGGTGCTCTTCAATACTGTCCTCGCCAGAAAGCTACCACTGATTGACGCATTAATCCTTGTGATTCACATCTTTGCCTTTTTTGGCATCCTGGTCACTCTCTGGGTTCTTTCGCCCAGAGCAGACGCCAAAGCAGTCTTCACTGAGTTCAGTGACGGTGGAGGCTGGGGCAGCGTGGGAGGCTCAACCCTCGTGGGAATTCTCGCAGGAATTTTACCACTGCTAGGCGCAGATGCTGCCGTCCACATGTCCGAAGAGTTGCGCGACGCCGGCCGCGCTCTGCCGCGTTCCATGATTACGACGACAATCTTCAACGGTGCTTTTGGATGGATCATGGTAATCACGTTTTCCTTCTGCATAGGCGACTTATATGAGGTCATCGAGTCGCCAACTGGTTATCCCTTCATGCAAGTCTTTTACAACTCGACAAAGTCAACGAGTAGCGCTACTGCGATGTCGGTGTTTATTGTTGCCATGACTGTGTTCTCCAATCTTACTATGGTGGCCACGGCATCGCGTCAGCTGTTTGCGTTTGCACGAGATCATGCTGTTCCCTTCAGCCCTTGGTTTTCCAAGATTAAAACAGGATGGGATGTGCCGCTCAATGCCATTTTGACGACTTTCCTCATCTCAAGCCTTCTTTCCCTCATCAACATCGGTTCGGCTGTCGCACTAAACTCCATCACTTCCTTGGCAACAACGTCACTTCTATCCAGCTACATCGTCTCTACTGGCTGTATAATCTGGCGACGATTGACGAATAGCCCGCTTCTACCATCCAAGTTCAGCTTGGGTCGATGGGGTCTCACCATAAATATTGCCTCTGAGGCTTTTCTTCTTCTTATTTTCGTCTTAGCATTTATGCCTGGCAACCCGAAGCCGACAGCAGCTCAGATGAACTGGAACATTGTGATTTACGGTGGTGTAACACTGTTTTCCTTGGTATACTATTTCCTTCGTGGAACTCATCGATATAAGGGTCCGGTTGCTTATGTCAGAGCACTTCAATAGTGGAGAGCAGCACCGTGAGTTGAGTTGTGTTGAACTCAGGCAGGCCTTTACCTGTATAATTACGAAATAAAACACTTTGCTATTAAAGATTCTTTCTATTTGTGTTGTAATTTCGGTAGTGTATCTTCCGTATCCAAAAGGGTAAATATACGTATAGCCTCTATTAATACATAATAATTAACAGCCTAATAGTCATACAATTGAACATAATTGGCGCGCATGCTATTGTTAGAGGTGAGATCCACATTTCGGACATAATTCAATTATCCTATTTATTAAACTCCTTGTCCATGCTCTTTTTTGAAGGCAATACAACATCAGAGAATTGTGTGGTAGCCCAAAAGGGTATTTACACATTGTCGCATACTGCACATAGATTAGGCAATAGCATCTCTCCAAAGACCAAAACTCATATTGTTGCCCTCAAAATTCCCGTCTATTCAAATAGTATATAAGAGTACGATGTCTCCCTGAGAGAAGGGATGGTCGTTGAGCTTCCTTTCTTTTCACTTTCAAAGGCTTGACTGTGCGGAAGTCATCATATTTCTTGGTCATATATGGCCATGAAGTGCCTTCGAGTGCTCGCTCTCTTCCTTGGGGCGGCTATTCCCGCTCAGGCCGCGTTTACATGGAAGAATGTCAAGATCGGTGGCGGCGGTGGCTTTGTCCCAGGCATAATCTTCCATCCCAAGACCAAAGGAGTGGCCTATGCCCGAACAGACATTGGTGGCCTTTATCGCTTGAATTCTGATGATTCCTGGACCCCAATCACGGATGGCATTGCTAATGATGCCGGCTGGCACAACTGGGGCATCGACGCCGTTGCTCTAGATCCGCAGAATGATCAGAAGATATATGCTGCAGTCGGCATGTATACCAACAGCTGGTTTGTGAAGCTCTATTGAACGTATTTCCAGAGTTGACAACTCTAACACATCATCAGGGATCCCAACAATGGAGCTATTATTCGCTCTTCAGATCGTGGCGCCACGTGGTCTTTCAGTAACTTGACATTCAAAGTCGGAGGCAACATGCCCGGGCGTGGTGCAGGAGAGCGACTGGCTGTAGACCCAGCCAATTCCAATATCATTTATTTTGGAGCTCGATCTGGAAACGGTCTTTGGAAGTCTACGGATGCCGGCGTTACCTTTTCCAAAGTATCGTCATTTACGGCAACGGGCACATACGCGGCAGACCCGACTGATCCCAACGGTTACAACAATGACAAACAAGGCCTTATGTGGGTAACCTTTGACTCAACAAGCAGCACCACCGGTGGTGCGACTTCTCGCATCTTTGTTGGCACAGCTGATAACATCACTGCTTCGGTCTACGTGAGCACGAATGCCGGCTCCACGTGGTCAGCAGTTCCCGGGCAGCCAGGAAAATATTTTCCTCACAAGGCCAAGCTCCAGCCTACGGAAAAGGCTTTGTATCTGACATACGCCGATGGTACAGGACCATATGATGGCACGCTCGGGTCAGTATGGAGATACGACATCACCGCTGGAACCTGGAAAGACATTACCCCAGTTAGCGGATCAGATCTCTATTTCGGTTTTGGTGGTCTCGGCATCGATATCCAAAAGCCAGGGACTCTTGTCGTCGCTTCACTAAACTCATGGTGGCCGGATGCCCAACTGTTCCGTTCCACAGACTCAGGAACGACATGGAGTCCTATATGGCAATGGGCGAGCTATCCTTCAATGACCTATTACTATGGCATCTCGGTAAGCCAGATTTCATGGTTTGAATCCACCAAGACGCTTATTACTGACCTAGTTCCCAGACTCCAAAGGCCCCATGGATTAAGAATGATTTCATTGATGTAACTAGCGAATCACCATCTGATGGACTGATCAAGCGCCTTGGTTGGATGATTGAGTCGCTTGAGATTGACCCGCTAGATAGTAACCACTGGCTCTATGGCACCGGTATGACCATACTCGGCGGTCATGATTTAGCCAGTTGGGACACGAAACACAATGTGACAATCCAGTCGCTTGCGGATGGCATTGAAGAATTCGCCGTCCAGGGTCTAGCTTCTGCACCTGGTGGCAGCGAGCTCTTGGTCGCGCTTGGAGACGAGAACGGTTACACATTTACAAGTCCTAACAGCCTTGGTACCTCACCGCAAAACGTCTGGAATACACCAACATGGGCGACGTCGACGAGCGTTGACTTTGCAGGCAACTCAGTCAAGAGTGTTGTCCGTGTTGGCAACACTGCCGGCACGCAGCAAGTTGCAATTTCATCAGATGGCGGCGTGACATGGAGCATCAACTACGGAGCTGACACTTCTATGAATGGCGGCACTGTCGCTTATTCTGCCAACGCGGATACGATTCTCTGGTCCACAGCCTCATCTGGTGTGAGGCGCTCGCAGTTCCAGGGCAGCTTTACTGCCGTCTCCAGCTTGCCCGCTGGTGCTGTCATCGCGTCGGATAAGAAGACCAATACTCTCTTTTATGCCGGATACTCATCCACTTTCTATGTTAGCAAAGACACTGGCAGCACCTTCACATCTGGGCCAAAGTTGGGCAGTGCCACCTCCATTCGGGATGTTATTGCTCACCCGACAACCGCGGGTACTGTGTATGTCTCAACTGATGTGGGCATCTTCCGTTCGACCGACTCGGGCACGACCTTTACCCTCGTCTCTACGGCCCTGACAAACGTTTACCAGATTGCCCTCGGCATTGGTTCCGGCTCAAACTGGAATTTGTACGCTCTAGGCACCGGTTCAGCTGGCGCCCGCCTTTATGCGAGCGGAGATAATGGCGCAACATGGACTGATATTCAAGGCAGTACTCAAGGTTTTGGTGCTATCGATGGTGTCAGAGTCGCCGGTAGCGCCAGCACAGCTGGTCAGGTTTACGTAGGCACCAATGGTCGAGGTGTCTTTTATGCTCAGGGAACAATTAGCGGTGGTAACGGAGGAAGCTCCTCTTCATCCAGCGCCTCGAGCAGGTCTAGCACCACCACCTCAAGCCGTACCACACTCTCTTCTTCAACCATTTCGACTACCCGGACCTCTCTTGTGACCTCGACAACTCGCACCAGCTCGTCGGCCAGCCCTTCAGGCACAGGTCTTGCCCAGCACTACGCTCAGTGTGGAGGTTCTGGCTGGACTGGCCCGACGCAGTGTGTTTCGCCATGGACGTGTCAGAAGCAGAATGACTGTGAGTAATCATGCATGACTACAAAATTGTCATCACAATGACAAATTTACTAACTGAATGTGTATAGTTTATTACCAATGCGTTTAAACATTATGAACTTGTATATTAAATGATAACGACAATCAAGCACTGACACCACGTTTAGCAATTTGGCAAAATGATGTAAAATTTACTAGTTATAATACCAGATGGCTCATTCAAGAGTGAATTGTAGCAGCTGATCAAAGATTCCAAGGTATGCGAGCATTGGTTTAATGCAACCGAATTTAGTTGGGATGAATAGCGTATACTGCGATGCCTCTCCATTCCTCGTTCTCACCCCCATCCAACATAGTAGAAGATGTATTGCGTTTCTCGGGAACATAGTGCAAATAGCATTGACAGATATGAAAAATTCATTAGGTGGCTTCTTTTAATTCACTAGTAATTCGTGAGGGACGAAGCGTTAAGGCAGTCGTGCATGCTATTGACAACTACCATGCAGAAAAAAGCGAAACCTCAAATCATCATCACCATTTCCGTGAAAATTCCAAAATGATAGCTGTAGAAGGTATAGAAGCTTCTTGTTCCATCTTTGGATTAAACAAATCATGACCATTTCTCGACCCACTCTCGTCATTCAACCTTTGACCGCTGCTGGTGGCGGTGTGGCGATCTCATCTGTGGATTGAGCTACTCTGGTAGCCGCCTTATGCACGATGGACCTTATCGGGCTGCTTCGCGATTTTTGCTGAGACTGATAGTTCCCTCCAAACCGAGACCGAATCCCGGGACCTTTTGCATCTAGATCGGCCTTGGCTTGGTTGTACATGTCTTCAATAATGAACACCTCCTCTTGGGCGTCAAGTGTGCAATCTATTAAACAGAGCTCTCGTTCGCGTTGTTCAATATGCTCACGAAGCTCCCTCCATTGGTTCTCTTGGATTTTGAACCGATCGGGAAGGCCAGATCCTTTGAGATAAGTTAATATTCCCGCCATGATTGTGCCCATGGCGCCGAGTCCAGTAACCGCATGGCGAGAGCCATCAGCAGCTCCGATTGCCGTTAATGAGGCGCCAACGATGATTTGCGCTCCGAGGCAAAAGTTGATGATAATGTGGAAGATTTTATAGCTCTTGGCCGCCTTTTGCTCTGCTTCGACTACCCGAAAGTAGAGGCCAATGTTGGGTGCTGCTCGCCTGGCATGGCCGGTGCTGGACAGCGCAGGCACAGTGTCTATGCCCGTCAGGGAACGAAATGCGAGAAGCTTGTCATTCGGCGGGATTAGCGCTTCGTGATCGGTCTTGATTATGGTGACTCGTTTCCCGTTGCTGCTAGTAGTAGTCTCTTGACCTGCCGGGTCATCGTTTGGGGGATAGCCTTGCTCTTCTCTGTCCGCAGGCAAAGGATCTCCCATATCCATAGCACGTGCGGCTTGGACGATTTTTCGAAACATGACGTCCTAAATACACAGAGATCAAGGACGACTACAGGGCAGGATATGAAGAAGAAAATCGGTGAGCAGCAGTGAAGAAGGAGAAGAAGAAGAAGAAGAAGCGGTAACAATGACCCAGTTGTGTTTCCACAAGATCCGTGGATATGGATCTATCTTGGGATGCTTTTTGAAGCTAAGAAAGGAGGCGATTATAGCCCACAGGAGATCTTCGGGCCTAGATCAAATTCTAAAAAGACATGGCAGAAGATGTTTGGGCAGGGTTTGGGCCTCCCTCCTTCGCTGCCTTATACCACCCACCACTCCATGCAACTTCTCCTGCCTCATGCAGCCTGTCGTAGTCAAGGGAGCCACTGCCGCCTGCAAGGGACTCGATTTAGTCCTCT